AACAAACAAAGATAGCACTCCTTAGCAACAGGTGAGATTTCTGCAGGCTCTCTATAATTACTGCCCGAGTATATTATTTTCACTGCATTGGAAGCATTTCTTTAAGGGTTTCAGTTTTCGAAAAAGGACTTCAGTACTACGGAAGAGTGAATTGACAATACTACTACGATAAGTGAATAAAACCATTCGTGGAGTGCAAAGTATTCACGAAGACGTAGATAAACCGCTCAGGCGTCCCTGTACTTTAGGAATGAGCGCCATAAGAGAAACGAGGGGATCATTAATGAGCAGTGGCTAAAAATTGCTGACAGAAAATAAGATTGAAATGATAAACTCTGTGTATGTTTTTGTGCCATTTACTTTCTTGAAGCTGAGTTTACACAACAATTTAACAAGCCTGGATTGAGTGAGTATTAATAGTTTCAGGGCGCGAACATTAGGGTAAGTGGAGAGAAAGGAACTAAAGATGAGGAAGGAAAGATGACACTCAGTTCGTTTGTTAGAGCACTATTTATATGTCGTATTAACACTGCTTATTAATACGGCATTTGTCTGGTATTACTAAAACAAACTACGAAAAATTAGGTACCGATCACAGAAGAAGAGTACTGTTTTCTCCAATAAACAAGCCTAGAAAACCTAACTCAGCGCAACAGTAATTTTGTTAAATAAAATATAATTTTTCCGTAAACAAAGATTCCAGAGTATAGCAATATTTCATCGTTCAGAAAGTAGAAACATGCTACGACAGTAGAAACTTATTTCTAGATCCAGTAATAGAAACACTATCAAGAACAACAGCAATAAGCAGTTTTATTATTACTGATACACACGATCACTTGCATCAATAGCTTTAAATAAAACTTGCTACGAATGAAAACAAGTCCTTGGAAGTTGTTAGACCATTATCAATTTCAATGTCTTGATATATAGGAATCATTAGTTACAAATATGACAAGAAAATCTAATGCACTTATTTGAAATTAAAAACGTGAGAAATAAGTCTTTTAGTAAAGTATTACAGTAATGATAACTTCATATAAATATATGTCATAATATTTGAATTAAAAACGAATACTATTTTCTTGACTTAATAATTCAAAGGCAAAAACAGTTTCTTTTGAAAAAATTAAATTCACTTTCTAGTAAGAAATATCCAATATTTAACTGAAAAAATGTATAATAAGTCGTAATTAAATAACTATATTTTGAGGTACAAATATTACAGATTTTGTGTCATATAACGTTCTTTGTTTTAGCAATGCGAAAACCTATCTAAATTTTCAGTATTACAATTATATTCATTACATAAAAAGTAAATATAAAGTACAATATTTTAGAAATATAATTAAGTCCATGGCTTTACACTAATTACTCTTCAGCCTCAGTCTTCACCTGCTTACGGGACGATTGTTTCTTAATCGTTCTTTGATTTTTTTGTAAGTTGTGGGCATCTAGGATTTCTCTGCGATAAAATCTGAAAGAACACATATTCATTTTCATTATGTAAAAGGTAATTGTAGATGTTTTTGTATGTCAGTTCGTCTTTTTATTAAGGGGTGAAGATAAAATGTTGAAGTGTTTCATTTGCACATTAGTTTTCACTTTGTGAGTCCCATAACCTCATGTCGTCTCTTTAGACAACTAAATATATAACCCCTCTCTTCTTTTCTACTTACACATTCGTAAAACATAGGTCAATGTAGGTTTAAATTGTAAATCCTACCAGGTCCGGTAAACTTTCTGTAGAACTATTCAGTTGTCTAGCAGTCCCCTTGAGAGCCAACTCTGGTGAAGATGTAGTTGAACGCCTCACCCATGTTCCATTTGCCAGAGCACTCCCGAAAAAAGTCTAAAAAGAAACACCAATGATAAAATATGATTAGCGTATATCGTTTAAAGCAAATAATTAACTTTCTCAAAAACAGATTACAATAATAAAATACGAATGTGTAATACATGTATGTTTATTTTTGAAAGACTTTAAATATTTCTGACAATTTTTAAAAAATTTCGGAAATTTGAAATATTCGTTACAATTTTGGCAAAATTTGATTAGCTTTCATCCTAAAAATCAATTAGGTAATTATTATTAGACGATAAGCGACGAATTTCAGTGAAAATAAAAAGTATTAAATTATTAAAGTTAAACAATTCAAGAGAATTTTATGTATTCAGTGTTAAAGGTTGTCATTATTGTGTCTGACTCTTAATAGTAAATGCGAGAGATTATCCGTAAAATGTAGGCTCCTTTTCTATGGCGCGTCCTTGCTTCCATCTGGAAGTACCAGGTCTTCCGTACTCACTAAACAACATTTATTGTTTTTGGGATTCCCGTCCTCCAATTGTCTTTACTTTATATCTGAAAATAATAAACAACTCTAAACTAAACAAAATAAATGTACTAACTTGCATTATTTTTGTGGAATTTTATATGTTATTCCAATACTTTCAATTCATTGCCACATTGTAAAACTTTCTCTTTTTAATTTTTTTCACACGTGTTTAGAAAGAAAAGTTTGAAATTGATCTTTGATTGACATTTAAATGTAATTAAAGTGATTTTAATAGAATTCGAGTTAGAGTTTTACGACCCTCGATAAATAGTTGCTGACAAAAAGGGTCCATTAAACATTCAGACAATTGTAATACCTCCAACAATTAAGAGTTAATTGTGAATCCTGGCTTGACAAAAACTTTTCTATTATCTAAAATAACCTAATAATATCTTTGATTTTAACAACCTTGAAAACCAGCGTTGACTCACATTCAGTTCTTCCAAATACCCATTTAACATTACTGTTTTATTTCAATTACTATACTTTTTTCCAAAATTTCATCCATGTAAATAATTATTTCCTTACCATCCAAAGGTATGCTTTCACTCTCAACTATAATAAATCAGTTCTCTACAAAAATTCATTCCTCCGTCACAGTTTCAGCATAATACGTAAATCACTAATGTTTTCGTCCGCACTGTCCTTGGGTAACTCGCAAATACATAATAATCACGCTTCATTTACTATAACTTAATATGTGTGCATTCACACCTTTTTACTCAGTATTTAGCACATCTATCAGAAAATGATTTGTTTCAGCCATTTCATATCTCTGATACCCGTAATTCATTTACACCTAGGCACAAATAAAATCAATATCCTAGTTGTTTTTATAAATATAGCGGAGAAAACTAAGAATCATGACGGATAAGACAATTGACAGTTAAAATAGTCATTGTGGGGGTGTAAAATATATATTACAAACTGTGTTTTTCAACACATTTATTATTTCAATCTGTGCAATATTATTATTTGAATATTTAACTGACCGCAACTGCTTAAACAGTTCAACCTAGCCTACACGACTATCTGTTATGCAACTGCGTGCAATCGGGTCATGCGAGAATTAGTTCTGCGGGTACATCATTTCAACCTGTGACAGCGTTTTTTGATCAAATACTATATTCAGAGCACAGTGTAGTTCCTACGGCTACCAGTGTCTGAGTCTGCGCGTGCCAGAGTTATGTCTGGCAGTCAGTTGCAACGTCATACGTGCCGACGGCCGATGCATGAATAATTGCATGACTTTTGCAAAAGTTCCCTTTCCCTTGCGACAAAGTATCAGGCCGCCAGTGTCTCGACAGTGTCTACAAGGTCACTCCGGTGAGACCATGCCTCACCACAAGTACATAACATGTATTACAAGTTGATTTTATGTACTATCCAGAACAGTTCATAAGAAATCTTGAAAGTGATACTTTCTCATCCAATTAACAACAGATAGCAATGTAATGCCAACCAACGGTTTAATCATTATCATTTTTGTATTATATGTGAACAATGCATTAATATCTTTAATTGTTAATATCTTTAATGTTAAATTGTACATAGTATATTTGCTATCTTCCTTTTCATTTTGACAGAGTGCTTGTCAATCATGTTTGTTTGTAATTCTTGATTAATGTTTAATTATATGGATTATGTATACTATATGTAGTATTATTTGTATATGTTTTATTCAATTTATCATGCACCTTCTAATTTTACCGTTAGTGGCGACACTTCCTGTTAACCCAATTTCAGGAAGAAACGTTGGTGTCACTTTGCAGTGCACCTGGTCCTTCGAGCGGAACAGAGAGCGAGAGCGAGTGAGCTCGAGAGAGCGCGTGAGAAAGCAAGAGAGAGAGAGAGAGAGAGAGAGAGAGAGAAAGCGAGCGAGAGAGAGAGAGGGAGGAAGCGAGCGAGAGAGAGAGAGAGGAAGCGAGCGAGAGAGAGAGAGACAGCGCGAGGGAGAGCGAGAGAGAGAAAGTGAGAGAGAACGCGCGCGAGAGAGAGAGCGAGAGAGTGGGAGAGAGCGCGAGAGAGAGAGCGAGAGAGTGAGAGAGCGAGCGAGATAACGAGCGAGAGAGAAAAAGCGAGCGAGAGAGAGAAAGCGAGTGAGAGAGAGAGAGAGAAAGCGAGCGAGAGAGAGAGAGGTCTAGAGAGAGAATCAATAGTTGCTCCACCTACAGTCCACTACTCTCACGCATTGCCCTATCAGTGACTTTAAATAACTAGTGGGGCTACAGAATGGCACAGACTTTATTAGTTTTCTATTGCGCTCAGCTAGCGATTCGGAATTGTCACATCCCAGCTGCCAGGTTTTGCCACCAAAGTATATTTTTTTTAAAAATGTTCATAGGTTTTCAGTTTCCAAATAATAGAACGTAAAAATTATTTTAAGAATATTAAGTAACAGTAAAATCCTGTCCTACATGGCTATTTTCTTTTAAAAATTTTGAGCCGTTTCTAAGAAAATTGTATAATTCCTAATAGTAGAACTTAAATATTACTTAAAGAATAGTAAAGAAGTTTGACATTATTTAAAGCACTGGTACTCATAAATATGATCATGTGAACTAATCACCGCTAATGTAAGTATAAACGTCTTGAGAACAAATTTAAAAAATAATTTTTGTAAATTTTGAAAAAACAGAAGTATAAAGCAACATGGTGTTTATGTCATAGAGTATATTTTGCACTATCCCTAACAAAACTTTAAAGAAAAACTTTGGAGCCGTTTTTGAGAAAATTCTGTGTTCATTATTTTTAAAAATTGTTCATAATGCATGCAATATTCCGGAGAAAATTGCTAATAATTTTAAAAAATGTAAATGACCTTAATGAAAGCACTGGCATTGGAAAACAAATTTAATTTGAAGGAAAAATTTTTCTCTTCAATTTTTAATTGTAGGAAGAGACCGCAAAAAATTCAAAATTTTGCAATTTTCGAAAATTCACAGTAAACAGTAAAAATCTGATCTTTATAAATGTATTTTACTCTATTCTTACAAAAAATGAAAAAAATGGAGCCGTTTCAGAGAAAATTTTGAAAATTTGAAAAGAAATTTTGTATTGTCAAAAATCTTCCGTTTTCGCCTAGCATTACATAACTTTTCCTATACTATGTAGATTACCCCGTATGTACGTATGTATACGGAAAAGTAAAAGATGCTCGACAATGTTTCTAATGAGATACTGCTTTAGATGTGATGAGATCTATGCTAATTATTTTGAATAAACTGTGAACATTTTCAAAAAAGTGGTAGAAAATTTGTGCACACCCCACCCCGACCATTAGAATCTTCACTGCTTCTCATCAACACACACTTCTATCAAGCCAAAATTGATTTTGATTGCTGATGCTGAAAGTCTTGTGATGGTCTGAAACACGAACGTTTTCGCGATTTAAACTTTTTTCGTTGTCATTACAAAGAACCTGAGACGGTTGTGCTTAAGAGTTCTATAGATCACTCTTGGAATTCCATAAAGGGAGTAAATCTGTGCTGCAGTTTAGAAACAAATGTTATATTTTATTTTTTGAATATATGAAGGGAAGTTAGGGCAAATGATACAAGATGCTCCAGGCTTATTGAAATGGCATACTAAAACAATCGGTGAGTGGAAAAAACGTACAACTCGACAATTGGCTTTTTTAACGGAGAGATAGCCAATAGCACTTTTTAATGTGGCTCTTCAAGTAACTCAATGTGTTCGGATTTACGGGGCTACATATTATTGTATTGAGTGGAAGAACGATGTAGCTCCTGGAGTTAAAAAGTTCTTCTATTCAATACCTTTAGTTCTTTTTGCCGCTCGAGTTCAACATACTCGTATATAATAGACTTAATCAATGTAAATATTGGAGGGAGTTATCATTGTAATTAGTTCAGTTGAAAGAAGAAGCAGTAATTACGTATCTAATAAGTATTAATCTGCATAATGATCTGGGTGTCCGGATGACGCCGCGTCGAAAGCCTTCGACGCAACGTCACCCGGATAGCCCTGATCATAACTCTGGGCGCGGAAGCCTACAATATCATTTATTTGCATAATGTTCATGTTCGGGTTCCTGTGCACTCTTTCTACCATGTGGCAGAACCTCCGAAAACGTCAAATGAGCCATAAGAACAAATGATCGAATTTATCGATGTGAAGATTATGAAGATATAATGTAAACAGTTGTAAATTAAAACCATTTGCAATATCAGTAATGAAATACATACCTATAAAACAGCATTCATGCTAGTGGCCCAATTATTATTAAAAAATGCAAATTAACTGTTCAAGAAATTAATGAAAGCTCAGTTTCCAATTATAACCTGTTCATCTACCGTAGTTCTACACCAGGTTATATTTCAGTTAGTAATTTTTTCGGAGAACTAGTTGCAAACAATTTTAATCGGCTCACGCCTCACGTCACTCCAATTTTCCCAATGAAATGAAAGTTTTTCAACAAGAAATCATTACCAATAAATGTAAAGAAGATCAATTATATTAAAATGAGTTTCAGGTAATATGAGTGGAGAAATCCTTGAGTATCATATCATATTGTGACTTTGGAGACAAGCAATGATGATCAGCAGGAATCATAATGAAATCATGACAGTTATAAGCTGTCACATTGAGTAAAATTTCATTATGAACGCATTCTTATTAAAATTAGTTACTTTGTTTTACGATTAACAAATACTGTTTCTCAAAACAAGGTTTTTGGAGTTGTACGGTTTTCCACGCCCCGATTCCATTATAAAATACAAGTAATAAGTCACGTTTATATATTTAGTTCCTCAACAAGAAAGACTTACTATTTACTATATTATTTAACCAAATATCATGGTAATAAATGTTTATATAAAGAATTTGGAATTGACAGTTTTAATTGTCAGCTCATATAAAAAATAACTATTGTCCTTTTTCTATTGAGTACATCATATGTAACAGTTAATTATCGGTTCACATCGTTCGTTCAGAGCCGATTACGTTCCGGTGAACGATCCAAGGAACTTGCGCAGAGGAAAGAATAAACGGAACGCGCATGTTTACTTGCGTGGCCGCGTGGGCGCGCCTCGGCTGAGGGCGCCCGCAGCAGCGGCAGGTTCTGTTGCCGAGCCGCTCCTCGCACAGCTGGAGCGCCGCGCGGCGCAGCACGGCCGTTGCGTGCCCGAGCAGCGCCTGCAGGCTGCGCACGGCGCCCGCCACCTCCTCCTCCCGCACCGCCTGCCCCGGTAATACCTCTGCCCCTCTGTTCTTGGATTGAATCGTGGAAGCCGTTGACCTTTAATCAGCTGATAGGGTGTCATTCAATCGGAAGCTTATATCGCACTACAGTAATGGCGCTTAAACTTCCGATAGGATGGCGCCGTAACAGCCGATTAAATGTAAACGGACTCCATATTGAAATTGAAGTATACTTGAAAGGAGATGGGGCCTTGTTATTAAATGAGAAGCTTTAAATTCTGATGTCACTGCAGAGGTGCCAGAGCGTATTAAGAAAAAATACATCTTACAGAGCAAAATAACTGAAAGTCGAAAAGAGCCATTTGTCATTATTACTTCTTTGCTTATGCGACGTGTATTCGGTTCTGTGTCGTCTATTGTTGTGAGCTCTTATTCTGATTTGTTTCTTGCTACTGCGGCTATTGTTGTGATCTGATGTAAAAACGACTATGTGTCTGTCGCCCGAGTACATCGTAATAACTCTGAACCGCATCCCTAGTTGTGAAGTAGGCAAATATTTTTGGGACAATAGATTCAATTTACACGCTGTCTTTTCTCCATAAATGTTGGACCTATGACTGAGTGGTCCTAGGATTGTAGTCCCGACGACGGTGGCAGGATTTCGGATACTACCAGAATGATAGGCCGAATTTAGCCGCTGTCGGGCACAGAAATCTCTCTGCCGTCTGGTCGAATGCCGGTGCAGTACTCTAACAAACGGGCCACGGACCGCGTGCGGTCTTTCCTTTCTCTTCCTTGTCCTATACTCACCCCTTACGTTCACACTACTACACTTACATGCTACACACTAGTAAACAGGTCGGGAGTTCAGAGATCGTCCCGTCTGGGGGGGGGGGGTCCTCCGCTGGTCGGATCTCACCATCCAGCGGGGGAAGTTCACACACTACACTTACGGAACGACTGACCGTAGGAGTTATCGTGCCCGGAAATATGAAATAATCCGTCACGAACGAACGATTTCGGGATTTAGCGAACGCGCACTTGCGCAAGGTCGCGTCGAAGGTTCCAGAAGCCGCAGAGCCCCTGCGCGTTTGCTGAAACGCAAAAATCGCTCGTCAAAAGGATGTGTGCAAATCGAGACCGAGACTTGAGTTTCCAAGAAAGAGGGTCAAGTTCCCGTTCGTGAGGTAGCAGCCTTAGAATACGCCCAACGATGACCCGTGTTCGACCCAATTGGCATTTGTGCAAACAGTCGTTTAAGACATAAGACTTCAACCATTCGGCTAGAGCCCAGGCCCTGGACCCTACGTGGGCTACTACAGTTCACCACCGAGTAAAAGTCTCTGGAGTTGGTTGCTAAACTTTTTGCTTTCCCCTAACTCCCTGTCGACGCATAATACGCCAACAGTCTGGTATCCGGATCCCGCCGAAACGCAGTTGGCCCTCACGGCAACCTCCTCATTCAACAGTTGGGTTGGGGCCGCCCTGCGAACTCAGAACTACAATTTTCCAGTATAGAACCGGAGTCAATTCAATCCGCCACTTACATGCAAATGCACTGGAACAAGTCCCTTCTCTTTACGCAGTGTATCGGGCAAGTGCCACGACGTGGCCGAGAACCCAATAGAGAGCCACCTGAACTAAAGTTCGAGCAGCTCGGGGTCACCCTTCCGTCTCATAACTGCCTACACTTTAGGCTATTGACATGCATATCGCTGGAACCTGGGCATCCTGACGGGTGGTGTCGAGTTCCCGTCTCACTTCTCTCTGTGAATTCCAGTGTATTCCGAAGAACCTCCATCCAGTCCTGCCCAAAGGTCGACGCGCCAGAGCCCCGACTAGGAAGTTACCGGCAACCAGGAGCTTGAATGGCCTACTCACTGCCTCCACCGTCAAGCTAACGACATGAGTGCCGCCATGCTCTAAGATATATTTCCCCAGAATGTTATGCCATATTTCAGGCTAAAATGAACAACTGAATTTGAATGAATGCTTAATGCATAACATAAAGAACTTATTTACTGTTCAATTTATTTAAATGAACGTTCCAATTGAACGACCTAAAAAGTTTGTTACCTTAACATCAGTCAATGGCACAGCGTTCATTTTTAATGGAGTTTACAGCTGTCTGTTTGAAATTGAATACTGCATTGAAACCGTTTTCTTTTCATTTACTATTAATTTGTTATTACGGAACCAATTTTAAATATCTTATATTGTACTATTTACGGTTTCTTTATTACAAAGAATATTCGTATCATCCGCAAAAAGAACTGTTCTTCCATTTCTAATCGTCGAGGGCATATCGTTTACGTATAGTTGGAAGAGAATAGGGCCTAAAATCGATCCCTGTGGGACTCCAGATGCAATTGGCTGAGAATCGGAAAGGTGTGTACATAATGTTCCAGTATTCCAGTAAGGAATTTCTACTGTCTGAGATCGTTGTTTAAGGTACAACCTAACCAATCTAGAGCTGTACCACGAATTCCATACGAAGGCAATTTTGAAAGTAAACTGTTATGATCAATGACGTCAAAAGGTTTTGAGAGATCTAAAAATATTCCAATAGGTGCTTCGTTTTGATCCATGGAAGAAGTGACGTCTTTACGAAAAGAAAATACGGCTGTTTGTCGAATATCAGCAGGAAAATGAAAGAAATTTCAAAACAAACGCGGAAATTTGTAATAAACATTAAATTTATTCAGTTTTAGCAAAAAGACATAGACTTGGCTTTAATCTCTTTTTAGTGACCCTACTTCAGTTATTATTATCAGAAATTAAACTATATACAATTGAGAGAAGTGATGCAGAGATGGTTATAGTTTTTGTCAAAAATTTACATAACCTCACAAATGCAATAATAATGTGAAATTTCTCTCACAAAGTAATCATCGTGCAAGAAACTGTAGATTTTTGCACTTAGCGATAACTAGAAAGCCTTATAATATTTTGAATTGGTTTCAATATTCACCGTTCTCTTCGTGAAATTGATATCTGTCCCTCTCCATCATTTTTGTTAATTTTTACCAGAGTAGTGAATGATGGAAAGGATTTAATGTAGCTGCCTCTCATAAGAGAATCAGTTGATCAGAATTATAAATCGCAACTATTTCAGTTTATCAGCAGCAATTTGCCTGATGTATTTTCAGGGGCACCAAGAGAAAAGAAGGTGCCCTGGGGCAGTAGGCATCAGGGGCTCTTAATTCCAACAAAAGGTCCCCATATTTATTATTATTATTATTATTATTATTATTATTATTACTATTATTATTATATTTGCCAGTTAATCATATTTCAACTACAGTTAATTAAAAAATATAGAAGAAAATAAATTATGTGTAAATTTTAGGAGCCCCATATAAGTGGGGATATAGGGCAAGATGCCTCAGCTGCTGTAACCTTTGGACATACCTGTATATGGTTACTACTAAGACACTACTCAGGCAATTATTTATGAAGGAATGTCGTAACTTACGTTTAAGGTATGTTGCTTCAGGACAAGGAGCTTAACATTACTTTTAGTGCTTAACGTTTCTGCATACAAGACTAGCGTAGAATTATTCCCTAAAACGGGCGACGCATAGAAAAATACAATTTGTTGAAATGACTGAAAATGTAGAGTATTTCTCGTATTACGATAGCACAACAGAACAATGTAGAAGAGTGCTTGTGAAGAAGCCAAAGTCTTTTAAAGAAAGCACCGGAACAAGGCTTGGTTTAAAAGGGGGCGTGGGCTTCATTGGTATCTTATTTATGCTTCATAAGTAGCATTTCGTTAACATTTGCACTCCCATAAATTATCTCTTCTCTTAATAACCGCAGTTTAAGTAACTAAAACGGGAGGCTAGAAATGACGTTCTCTATGAAGTCTAAAATTTTCCTTGAGTAGCAGAAGACTGTAATATCAAGGGAATATGTTAATTGTAACACGTAAAGTTTAGAAATAAATCAATTATTTCTTACGACCGGCTTCATAAATTATTATTTTTAACGACCGGCTTTGAGCGGTTGACGAGTAGTCAGCCGCACATTTAACAGGAAACACTTGGGGAATAGAGATGTTACAAGTAACATGGCAATCTCAACAATGTTCGTGTCTCGAATGTGGGTAAGTGAAAGGCGTTTGAACCTGCAGGTCTCTGCGGCGCTTCATGTGCAGGAAGCGCGTGCACAGGCTCTCGATGACGCGATGGCGCGCGCTCAGCCGCCGCTGCAGTGCGTCGAGCGCGCGCCGCAACCCGGCCTCCTGGAGCGCCTCCCGCCCCGCCGCCGCCGCCACCCCGCCCTGCGCACGGACGACAGCTAGTACTGCGCATAATATTTAGTATCTCCATTTTCGAGAAAGTATGGCTTATCTTGTTACTGTATTGCTCTTATCCCTCAACATCCCCCAACATTCGCAAACATTTAGGTTGAAAGATACGCTACTGGTTTTAAAATTTACGAGCTGAACATCCGCGAGATCGCAATTTAGTCGTTCTGCATATTTCTTGCAAATGTTCAGATTTCAATTTCTTCAACAGCATCATCTTTTAGGGACCCAACTCGACAGACACCATAGCTCAGAGGCACGTACTGTCAAGTTGGAAATTCAATTCAGTACAATACTATAGTGAAGAAATTCAATTTTGTTACTACAAATAGCAAACGAGGAATTTGACATCATAAACATTCAGAACATTTGCAACTCTGATGAGAATCACCTTACTGAAGAGAAACTTCGGGAAATCAGCGAACAAAACTTCCTTGAAGGTAATGAAGAAGAAGAAATGGAAGAAAATGCGTTCTCATGTAACTTAAACGTCAAAATTGATTTTGACAGTTGGAAACTTCAATAAGGTTGATGATCATACGAATCCGACCCGAATTGAAATGAAATTTAAGTGAGAAGTAGAATCAATAAGAGGAAAGTGGAAGAGAGAAGTGGAAGCAAACAATCCGTACTTGGAGATTTTTAAGACAATGAGAAAGTGGATGATACAAAGAGAACTAAATACTATGTCCAATCATTTTATTGTAAATAATATTTAGATATTGTGTTCTTATTTTTGGGATGTTAATTGTGAATTTTGTTTGTTGCAATTCTTACATACTCGATATTACTGCAATTGTTTGTCAGATAATTTCTTTCTTTTTTAAACTATTATCCGACGTTCAGGTACGTAACCGAAATTTATCTATTAGAAAAATAATGTACTCAACATTTAATTTAACATTTGCAATGTTTAGGGGAAAATAACTATCGTAAATGATGACGCACCCTTCGACCAAAATCACCGGGAGTAGTGGCCCCGGGCATCAACTGATGTTGCAGTCCCTCTGACTGAGAGGCCCTACGGCTCCACTCCCCAACGGTGGCAGGTTTTTCGACAGTAGCTTGCAAACTTGATCGAATTCAGTCATTGTCTGGAGCAGAATCCCAATGGCCGGCTTCTATGTCCGGTAGTTTTCCGTTGTTTCTCTGATCTTTCCTACCTCTTCCGTGTCCTATCCTCACCTCTTGCACATTACATGCACTACACTACAACACATGCTCAGAGACCGGTCGGGAGCTTAGGGCATTTCCCGGCTGGGGCGGTGTTCCGCTGGTGGGAGATACCTGCTTAGGGAAAACCACGCTAACCGACGGTAGGTCGACGCCAGATGTCGCCATCCAGCAGAGGAAGCGCGCCACCTCCCGAACAAAAGCATGCACTTCACTTACGGGAATAGTGACCTCAGCGTGTAATCACTAACAATCAATCAATCGAACCAAATCCAGATTTTAACATTTTGGAATAGCAATGGGCTTGCTATGGCAGGTGTGGCTTGTTTTGTGTTGCCTCATGCTTTTCAGCTAACATCATCCCAAGCGTTTACTCCAAATGCAAAAATTATTCCTGAAATGTATCAAATAAAGAATACACACACGTAACAATAACGGCAGTTTATTAACAACTTTATTCTGGGTTTTCCCAAATCAACTCGTATCAAAATCGTGCCAAGAGTCGTTTAAGAGCTGGGAGAGGAAAATCATGTCCAATATCCACGAGAAGTCCCTAAATCAGGTCTGTCCAACTGGCAGGCTGCGGTGCATTTATTATAACTCGCAAGAATTAGACAAACTTGAAAGTGCATTGCATCCATGTCGGGTGAGAATATTGCTCCTAGCGCAGGCGCCCTGTCGGGGACAACGCCCCATAATGTAAAGAAATATGCTCAATTTATAGATTAAAGATTATAGTTTAAAGGTTTTTTTAGTGAATTCATCAATTCAAATTCATCCCCAAAATCATCCTATACCTCCATAATAGAGCCTGATAAAGTCCGACAAACTGCTGAGATTACGAGGTAACAATACGAGTAATTTGTGGGTCGCTCGAATAATGAAAATACGGCCCACGTGTAGCGTGCCCATCAGTATCAGTATCACTGTCACAAATGTCCTTCAGTATTCTAAACAGAGCACAAAACAGGCGGATTCTCGGTCAACGTAACAGTTCAAGCATTCTTAGCGCTCAACGATTCACTAACAGCTCGAAAAACTCGAATTGGGAAGCAAGATGTTTAAAACATCAACATAGTCCTGTGCCGTGATAGTTCCACACAGAACAACAAGGGGAGCAAGTCCCCTCTATGAAAATCACGACCACACCATAACACTACTTTGGCCGCGTCGGGATTCTTTTGATAAAATAGTGTAGACATCCCCTAGTCGAGGCGCCTGCTAGTCCATTTTCAAGCAGTGCGTTACTCGCTCCATCGCTTGTCTCGGCGTTACTGGAGCGTGTCCTACAGCCGCACCAACTGAGCGCGAAGCGACCCTGCGGCCAGAGCGAACTCAAATGTTTGCCAGCAACATTACAACTTCTCAGAATTATGTTGGATTATATGGAATTGAATGGATTTGTGTTCAAACAATTCCAAAGAGCCATTGAGAGGAAAATCTTTAGAAAAAATTTCTAGAGATAGCTCCGGCCTATCTCGAGCAGCTTGTTCATTAACTCTTTACAGTGTTTTCTTCACAAACCTAATACTTGCACACGAAAAAAAAGATTCGTTTTATTACTCTCGTATGAACAACACGTGCATTACTAGACGCTACTAAAGTATATATTTTCACCGTTATCTTTTAAAACTCGCTTTCGCTCTTTCTTTGAATTTCGTAGATTTTTCTAGACAAAACATACGTATTAATAATGTTAATGGAGAAAAATACACCTATTACTATGTTTAGAGAACAGTCTCCAGGATTTTAATCAAAGTAATGTCCACTCAAAAAATTAGGTAATGATACGTTTCAAATAAACTTTTAAGAATGTTGCAAGAAAAATTCTAACGATTTAAGAGAACAATAATGTACGACTTGTAAGTTTCATAACTTGACGATTGATTCAATAAAGTTTAATTCTGCAAAATACTAATATACTGCATCAATTTTTAATGTAGGGAAACATTATTGTTGGTTTTTGTTGTTTTTTTGTAAATAAATAAATAAAAGTCAAGAATATCACGTGAGTATATCCCATGGAAATGGAGTAGGTTAGGAAAAAAGTTGGAAAGATTGCGATATGATTAAAAGTGAAATTAATGAAATATATAATAGAAAAAAATGAATGAGACTCTTTTAGAAATATTGTAATTAATAAGTTGCCAACATACGCAGAAACTGACGCAGTCATGATTTTAACAAAAGCTATGATTCCCATAGAAACTGTTTTTTTCTTTCCTTCAAATTTCCTTGTAGTCTGTATATCATAGGAACTCTGTGCGAAATTCTATGACTCGAAGTGCAGTTGTAGACTGGACAGGTCTTTTGAGTTATTTATCGGGTGGCGGAGATTTTCTTCTCCACGTTTTTCTGCCTACGAGGCGCCGACCAGCCATATCCCAGACGGGACTTGCTCCAAACTCTCGACTGGTCTCCGGACAATTTTTTAAGTGAAGTACATGTATGGGTGAGGGTGTGTGAAAGGGAAAAGAAAGTGATAATAGGAAGAAAGCTGGTGCGTGGACTGCTGTCCGTTTGTAAAAGAACTGCTCCGGTATTCGTCAGTTGATCAGTTAAACCAAGAAAAACTACAGTTCAGAGCAGCGGATTCCTGAAATCCTTCTCCAGACTAGTTGTAATCGACCTAGCTATATAGCTTAAGTAGAAACTCCGTCTGGATTCGAACCCTAGAATATCTGGCCATAGACACTCTATAGGTAGCTTTGGTATCTCTGAGTTATCTCATCCGGAGTAAACAATGAAAGAGAAACTCCTTTCCTAATGAAAACTGTAGGTAAAAATAAGCTATGTTCCATCGTTAACACGCGCGCGCGCACACACACACCCACACCAATCGTGCGTGTGCGCGGGTGTGGTCTGTGAGCAGCGTTGGGCATCCATACCGCGCAGGGAGCGCCCTGCCGGCCGCGGCTCGGCGACCTCCGAGGGCCTCTGGGGGTGGTCCATGCGCGCGAGCCCTCCGCCCACGGCGGGCTGGTGGTGAGCGTATCTGCGCAGCAAAAGCAAAGGCCCGGCGCGGGAAGCCTCAATCTATGTGGACGAAGAGCCCGCTACGCGCACTAGAGGGTTATATTGATACATCAGTTTGTAACTTTAAGGTTGGTGGGGAGCCACCATCTCTCTGCCCCACCTTGAAGCTAACGACGTGAGTACCGCTCAGTAACTCGAGTTGGAGTGGACGTTACCGCCTCCACTAAGAGCCTCATGCCTTGTGACCCTCTGGGACCATCCCCTGCTAGGTATGATAGGAGCATATACAAAATCTCGCTAATCGGTGTACCTGACCTTCAGTAGCGTCACGAGATTAATGAGAGAACTTTATAAGGCATATTCGGCCAAAGGCCACGAAGCTCATGAGGGAAGTCGACAATGTTCATGTTTTTTTCATGCTACGGCGCCAAGTCCGGTAAAACTACTAGTCTTTCAACTTCATTTCCCAACAGTCAATATAGGTGAGAGGATGCCACTGTATCAGGGACAAATATACATAGGCTTGCGCAGGGGGGATGCAGGGAGGCCGTGTCCCCCTTCAAATAACCTGACAATTGTGTGAAATGATAAACGACCTTTTGAGAAGAGGCTTTGCAAATCGTCTGCAAATTCGGTGAATGGTTCAACATTATATCAATAGTATTAATGTCATTTAAGTTATAATTGCATTATTTTTGTATTGTTTTATTTCTGAGGAAAAATAAAAGTACAAATAAGTTAGCTGTTTTTTTTTCTCAAAGGCCAGCTTCAACTAAGCTGTCTCCCTCTCTCCACCTGGTATTGCATTTACTCCCGCTCGTCCCTAACTGGGTCTTGGAAGAGCGTCCCTCACTCCATTATTTCCTCTCTCTCTATGTAGTTTGCCAAAACGGGAACCTATCTATCGCTAACCAGATAATGAAGTAACCACGGCCCTTCTCAGTTCCTCGGTCATCACCTAGTCGCCCCTGTGATCACTGTATCCTTGGAGAAATGATGGATAATGATAGAATAGGGTAGGGAATGATTGATGGAGCATGCCGGTGTATCGCGTATTTTTAGACAGCCCCTATATAAGCGGTTGTTTGAACGCATGCACATCGTGCTAAAAGTCCAATTTCTAGCACTAATGTCAAATGCGATGCTCAAGTGTTCATAGAAATCGGTGAATGAACAAAACAAAATATTTTCGTCTGACCGCTTCAGCTTCTACTGACAATATTGTATAATTAAGTGATTTATATACTAGAATAAATGGAAAATCAGTAAGGGTGTCGGAAATTCAGTGTACAATACATGTGGTAAAAGTGATTTTATTTTGATCGTAGCATTTCCTACTTGCAAAATAAATCGTCCTTTTACCACTCGTGTATATATATATATATATATATATATATATATATATATATATATATATATATATATATATATATAACTATTAATAGCAAAAGGTGTCCAGCAACGAGCCCCCATCTAGCTAGACCGTCGCGGCGCTCACCTACGAGAGCGCGGTTGCAGCGCGTGGCCTGGTCGAGCGCGGCGGCGAGGGCGTGCAGCTTGCGCGCGAGCGCCGCGTGGCTGCGCTGCATGCGCGCTTCGTTGGCGCGCGACTCCGCCAGCGAGGCCTCGAGCTGCGACAGCGAGCGCCGCATCTGGCGCACAGGCGGAGGCGCCAGCGCCAGCGGGCGCGACCTGTCCGCGCTGCCCGCGCCGCCCGCGCCGCCCCGCGCCACCGATGCCGCCTCCTGCCTCGCGCCCGGAGAACGCAGCGGTTCCTAACCGCAGAAATCGGAGCAGTACTATATACCCGTGCGTGGTACACCATTCTACCCACATTTCTCTTTCTACCAGGAGGATTGCTCTCCGGGGTGAGCATCTAAGCTTGCGGCTCTGCTCTCACCCTCCGCCGAACGGCCGTCTCTGGATCCCGCCAGAACGCAGCAGCCCCTTTCGAGAACCTCCCCAATTTAAGCCAGCGTTGGGCCACTGAGCAGCTCAAAGCCACTAGCGATCCAAGCTAGCACCGGAGTCAAATTCAGCGCCCAGGTAGTACGGACCGAGATACGTCCCTGCTCATTGCCCAGGGTATTGGATTACTGCCATGACAACGCTAAGTGCAGTTCATTGCCCCCAACCTGCCTCCTCACTGCCAACACTCTGAAGCTATCGATGTAAGCTATCGATTTCTTCTATAATTTATTTGGTTCTTCCGATTTGTGAGGGTTCTTTAGGATAGGGCATTTTAATTTCTATAGTTCGTTCTCATGAAAATTATCATCCTCTGTCTTTTGTGATATGCCGATGTTAAAATTTATTATTATATTTATATTTATGATCCCTCTTTCTTTTCAAGATGTAATATAATGTACTAAGTTGTAGCAATTAATAGTAATAATTGATAAATGGTTCAGTTTATATTTTTTGATAGCTTTTATGTATATATTATGCATAAACTTTAGTGGAATTGTTGAAGATGATGTGATGATATGATGTATATGATGATTTGAATGATTATCTTATAGTTTGATTTTGTTGAGAATTTGAATTTGTGGTTTGATAATTATGGCAAGAATTTAAGTTTATCATTATAATTATTGTGGAAATTTAATTCTTTTTATAGTTATTTTTTTAATATTAAGGTTAATATTGGCTTTTCCAAAATTGATATATCTTTTTATATTTTTAGGATAGATTAATTTCTATATTGTTTTGGATTTTAAGATGAGAATATCGGCGTGAACGTGTACAAGCTGTGGATTATTTATTATTTTATACGTTATTGGCGTCCTTGCAGTTATTAATTAATTTATTAAGTGTTTATCATCTACGGATTGTGAGGTGATGAAATTAATAATTTATACATGCATTTGGGTACAATTGTGGCGTTTTTAGTAAAATTACGTCTATTTACGGTTCATTTATGATTACCTAAGGCTCATATTGAAGGTCCTATTAGCAGGCTATTATTAAAATTGGGAGGTTACGGATTAAGACGCACTTTCAGTGTTGGTTATTTTTGTCATGAGTAATACTAAATACTCCTGATTTGATTTGCTTGCCTTCTTATATGAAGATTCTGGCTTTAGTAGTTAGTTTTCTTGGTAGTTGAGCAAGGATATGAATTGTAAATGATAATAAATTATGAGAGATTTTGCTTAGGAAATTACTATTTTATAATATTTTTAGGGTAATATATGATTTATGTCGTATGTAATTAGATTTTATATATCTACTTATATAATTAGATTTTAGCATTGAAGTATTTAAGTATTGCTGGTGTGATTGATTGTGGATGAAGAGAGAAACATCGTGGTCAATGAATATTTATATAAGATGGGAGTGGTAAATCAATAGTGTCAAATTATTTTTTTACTTATTATTTACTGAGATTTATATTTTGAGTATTTGTTTTTATAATACTATTAATTTATAGTAGATGTTAACTTGAATAGCTTATGAAGAGTATAACACTGATGTTAATGAGATATTATATCTTTAAGTAAACTAACTATTAACTAACCCTACACTCTTCCTTATCCTTTCTAGTCTCAGAAGGAAAGTTTAGATTTAGATTTATTCAGTCAAAAAAGTTGTTAACGAAAAGTATTTTTTTGTTTAAAATGTATGAAGGTAATTTCATTGTACTAAGACAATATGAAATAAATATAAAAAACACTGCAATTAGTGTGGAAAATAAATTTTCACTAATGATTTATTCAGTATTATAGAGAGATTTCTTGGAACACTTCACAGCACTGAGTAATTTACAACAGTAATTATTCAATATTTTAGTCTGTTTTCCCTATTTGTGAGTCTCAAAAACATTTTTAAAAAAAGCTTTTTGCTCTTGAGAAAGCTTCGTGACTTAATACGCTGACTTACAAGTTTCACTGAATCACTGCCGATAACGAAAATACTTGTACAGGCAAAACACAAACCAAACCTAACAAGACATGTCGTCTCTCTTCACTGTACCCCCACATCCCTTCACAATCAGGTACACAGCGCCAGTAGACCTCGGCAAGAAGTCAAATGAATATTTTCATGACACGCCTGACAATTAATCTTCATCCGAACAATTAATAGTACTTCTAGTTGTTGCTGCACGCGTACACAAAAAGCGTAAAAACTATAATATAGAAGAATCTAAAGCCTTCTAAGCGTGACGTCACAAAGGATTAAAAATTTCAAATTACTTATATTTATTATAGGTGGCATTGGTAGTATTGATAAGTAGCGAACGAGAAAAATAACAATTGAATGTCCATGAATATATCATCCTGTAGACTAAAACATTTCTTTGGCGCTTTAGCTCTCAAAAGTTTAGTTTTTAAGGTCTTAGAACGCTTGGTTGAGGAGTTATTTAACGATATAACTGACTGAATGCTGCGGATTGCATTTGAAATGAATATTTAGATGCGTTTTTTTTAAACAAATCCTTCACATTTTTAAAGTCAAAGTGCAATTTGTCACGTCTTCGTGAAATTTTCTTTCTCGTATTATTGTTTAGAGATTTATAAAGATCGGTTGCGTGTGAGCGCCGCAAAAGGTATGTAAACCAATGAAAGAATGGATACGATAATTGAAACCAAAGAAGATGTGTATTGTTGTTAATAATATCATTGAATTTATTTTACATTGAAGGAAATGAGTTGAACAAAAGTGAGCCGCTAACTTTTCTTTTTATCGGTTAAATTCTGTTGTTATTTGTAATTTATATAGTTTAAAATTAAAATTTATTAAAAAAATATTTTAATATTTATAAGTAATTAAGGGTTAAATAATCTTTCTTTCATGTCGAAACTGAATGCATAATCACTTCCTAATTGAGATTAATTGAATTAATCAATCCTTTTTGGAATCAAGCCAAATGTTATAATTAACTATAATTCCTAATCTGCTCATTGTAATTCTCCTTGATTTCATTCATGGTTTGGACCTAGAAGTAAGATTATGATGAAGAATATTTATTTTAATAGTCTGTATAGATAGATGGATTAGAAGTAATTGAATAATTATAGCGGGCATGATTAAGCAATTTCTTCAATAAAATTTAGAAGAATGACTGCAATTAGGAAAAATCGTAAAGGGAAAGGTATGCGGGCTGATCTCTTCGCCAAATCCGCATTCAAGGTCTAATTGTGAAGTTTTTCTTAATCCAATAAGGTTATTTTTGATAAAATTAGCGATAGGAATGTTAGAATGGTTGATAAAATTTTAGTAAATTTAATCATGATGAAAGTATTTAAAAATACTTATGTTGATAATGAAGCCTTTTGATTGGAAGTCAGATATATTATAAATATATTAAATAAGTCTACCTCATCAATAAATTGAAATATCTTCGAATTGTTAATGCTGCTGCTTCAAATCGAAAATAATGATTTGATGAAAAGTAAAATATTATGTGCCATATTAGACATACTGAAAAAAATGAAACAAATATAACTTGTAGTCCATGAAATCCTGTGACTAAAAAAAGATTAACCATAGAGAGAATCTGGAGTGGTAAATGAGGCTTCTATATATTCACATGCTTGAAGAGTGGTAAAATAAATTCTTAAAATAATTGTTAATAATAATCCTTGTGTGGTTCTTCTCTGATTATGTTTTATGAAGCTATGATGGGCTCATGTAAATGTAATGCTTGATGCAAGTAAAATAGCAGAATTTAGAAGAGAAATTTGTATTGGATTATGTGGTTTGATTCCTATTAATGGTCATATTGTTCCTTAATACATGGTGAGATTAAAATTCAGTGGAAAAATACCCAGAAAAATTAAGTAAAGAAAAATACTTCTGATACAATAAATACAATTATTCCTTAACGTAGACCTACTAAATTAACAACGGATATGTGATGCCTTGATATATTCCTTCTGGTGTAATTCATTGAATCGGCATCATTGAATTAAAGTTAATAAACGATTTAGAGCTCCTGTAGAAATAATAATAATAATAATAATATAGTACATTTATATTAATGAAATATACTAATTAAACCTGCTGCTATTGTTATAGCACCAATAGCACTTGTAATAGATTATGGACTAGCATTTACTAAATTAAATGGATGATTTTCATGTTAACATTAATTTACTTTTCGTGAATATAAGGGAGTTAATACGGCAAATACATAATATTGAATAACTGAGACTACTAATTTAAGAATTAACAGTAAAATGTGTGATAGAATGAGGATTTGAATTAAAATAGTTGACTTTGTGATTATGGGTCTTGTAATTAATTCCTAATAGGATCAACAAGACGTGGCCCGCAGTTATTTTTGCTGCGAGTGGAACAGCGAGAATTAGTGGACGAATAATATCTCTGATTGTTTCAGTGCAGACTATAAAACATAAGGATGGATGGATGGAGTTCATTGAAAAACTAGAATGGCAAATATATGTTGTGTATTATTAATTCATCCATATAATATAAATGCAAATCAGAATGGCAATGCTAAGGATAGTGTCAATGTTAAGTGACTTGATCTTGTAAAAATATAAGAAAATAATCCTAAGAAGTTATTAAATAAAATAATCGAAAAGAAAGGGAATTAATGTAAAAGATCTTCATATGTTTTTGTCCAATTAATGTTTTAAATTCGGAGTATAATTTACTTATTAATAAATTTCATATTAATAGTCTTCTATTAGGAATTAATAAATATTATGATGGAATAATTAATGATCTTAGAAGGGTTCTTAATCAAATTAAACCAATATTTTAATATTAGATTTGAGATCGGTTGATGAGAACTAATTAGTAATCATTTTCAATTTGTTGATTTAATTTCGAATTTTAATTATTTTGAGTCGCATTTTAGGATGAGTCGCATCTCAGTCGATCTATACTGCTGTTCAGTAGTATAGCTCTGAAGAAGGTCACAACACGATGGCCGAAACGTCAGTCAATCGACAGAGACGCGGCTCAACCCGGAAAGCCAAGTATCCAATAACTCTGGCCGCCGAGGCCTACGAATACAAGAAATAATTTATTGTTTTAATATTAATTAGTGTAATAATTAAAAAATAAAGATAACCATATTATTGTAGCTATTTGAAGAATTAAGAAATATTACTATGTCAGTAATTTTAATATGACGTATTTAACTAATTTATTTCATTAGAAGTAGTCGTTAATTACATTAATATGATTTCAGAGATCATAACCAGTCATCTGATGAGTAAGTTTTGATTCAGTTGAAGTTTTTTTTAAATTTTCACTTTCAATTACGATTGGTATAAATCAAAGATGGCACCACAATGCCATCAAAGATGGCACCAAAGATGGCACCGCACGCGATTTTTCTTTCCTAATCCTTTCCCAATCAGAGCAACTGGCTACTAAAGTATAGCGCCTGAATTCGATCTAGCTTTCTACCTGGAGTCGAAAATACACGTGCGACGATTTTACCGCGATACCGCGACCGCCAATACCGCGATATACACGTGCGACATTTACGGGACAAATGACCGTAACGTACGACGCACCCGGAAGCACACAACTATCGACCAAACGAATGGAGTGAGCCTTTCAGGCTACCGTGCGCGACGTCTACCCGTCATTTTACCCGGAAGTGAAGCAAATGTACAGCTGGGAGGTGGCGATATTCCTCGCACGGGACGTAAGGTTCAGCGCCGTCATACACGTCGGCTTGCAGAGCTCCTTCCATCCAGCTATCATTCCAGGCGAGCATCGCCCAAGCCCTGAGAAGTTCTTAGCTCACAACTGGACACCTGACTTGAGATTGTATTAGCTTATTGCATGTAACTATATAACAAGAGGATAGGAGAGGACGAGGGCGAAAAGATTGCGCGCGGTCCGTGGCACGTTTTGGGGGGTACACCTGCTGAAATTCTCATAGTATTGCTCGAAGGAACCACGTAAAAGTACGAACCAGAGAGGGTTGTTGCTAGAATTTTCTCCAGGCACTTTAATCCAGCTACGTAGGTGTAGTGAAAATTTGCCACCGTCGGTTCTTGAACCCTTACGCCAACCGTACGCCCACCCTACGCCATCGGTACTTTAACCCTTACGCAACCGTACGCCAACCTCCCGGTTAACGACGTTACAGAGGGAACTGGAATGCTGCTCCGTTTCATCCAGCCAGTCACTCAGTTCCAGAGATGACTTCACAGCTTTTTTTCGAAAACTGTTATCGCAACACGTTCGACTTGTAATAACAGATATTAATAATAGGGGACGAATTTTGATGACCTAAAAATCGCCAAAATGATCAATAAAATGCTTTAAAACGACATAAAAACAGATGAAAATGACGTAAACAAATTTGAAGAAAATCACTTCAGATTAACTAGCTGCTGGGTATGTTACTGATGAAATTATGGCATCTTCCTTCTGTTCAAGTGAACTCAGACTGCAAACATTTGATGTGGACTCTTTTTTATAAGAAAATCACTGCTTTTATTTATCGCAAAATCGATCAAAGTGGCCATGGTGCCGAAAGGCGTCACAGGAACCTTAGATTACACAGTACTTACAACGGCTGACATTACAATGTATATGTACATAGAAATTGAATAGGCTACTCAGGAATGCTGTGGTGAACATTTGTTGCACCTCGTAAATATTGTTTGAAGCAAGTACCAAAAAAACATTAAAATGGATGATTTTGCGAAAAATGCATTAGTAATTACGTAAAGAGGTAAAAAATGATTTATTAGTCGAAATCAATGAAAAAAGCAAAAACACTATGTATAAAAATGGGTAATTTCGTTTTGTGATGATATCATAAAATGAATTTCTGTACTGAACGGCTCTGTTATAGAGTGAAAAGTAAAGAGATGACATTTCATTAAAATCCGCCCTTATATGATCATGTACATGGCCGACTGTTAAGAGTTAAATCAGTTCTGGCGACTGCTAAGAATTAAACCAAACAAAAGGAATAACATTCGCAGCGTAGTAGAGCTTGTGCAGCTACCTTGCGGCCCTTGCATGCACTACCTCCCCAAACATGTTTGGACAGAGAAACAACTGATATGAACAAGAGTGGATAAACTGGCAAGGAAGAATAGTAATTGATATGATCAGTAGCTTATGTGAATAGAATGTTACTAAAATAACAGTGATTCGTTATTCGGGTTCAGATAGCAAATATTCTTTCGATTATGCATAGTGAAGTAACTCGAGCATATTGAAGTGACGAGTGCCAAAAATAACGACAAGAAGAAACTGTGTATCGGATTACCTGCAGCTAAAGTAGTAATGACCGTTGAGAATAAATATCATGTGAGTTATTGGACCACAACTCATTTTATTTTATCGAGCTTATTATCGGAAATATTAGTCGATCTCACCTCGGCAGCAATGGGACAGAGCAAAACTAGCAAACATATTGTATGGATTTAATTCGAAGGACAAGCTTCTTATTGTAGTATATACTATAAAATGTAAAAATATTGTGGCACATATGAAATAACGACAAATTATTTATTTTGAATTATTATTTAATTTGAACACTTGCTAACCACGATTGATTAGTTGCAATGAATTGTATCGCACAAATTGTTGCCGCGAAAGCTTGTAGAAGTTCGAGTTTGGCCCAATAGATTGAAATACGTACTATGAATTTCAACCGATAACAGCCAACAACACGATAAATGACATAATTGTTATTTCGCGTAATAGTTATGAATCTGTATTTGTTAAGAAATAACAGATTAGCTGTTAAGGGCATATCCCTACTGTGTTCGACATACGCGAGAGAGCGCAGAACCTTATCCGTGCAATGTTTGGACACTGTAGTCACTATTTACTGTCTTCTTAGTATAATTCAAAGTTTTTATATTTGCTCTTTTTTTCTCGTGTACGCAAGTATATACGGAATAATATACGTAGTTTAAAGACAGTTATGTAATACTGCGTGTAATCAATTACCAGTACCATAACGTCTATGCCATTTTGTAGCACCACGGAGAGACTGGAAGCATCAACAGGCTCAGGGCATCAGCAGATGCCACTGCTGTGCCTCTGTTCCTTGGTTCGAGAACCGACGGTGGCAGATTTTCGACACAAGCTCCATCGCTAGGTCAAATTCAGTCGCTGCCTGGAGGAGAATTCTAGTGGCCAGATGCTCTGATTGGTAGATTTCTGTGTTTTTTTCTATCTGCATCAAGCGAATGCCGTAACGTGCGGTACGGGTCTATGACCGCGTACGATCTTTTCTTCCTCTTCCATAAAGAGAGCTTAGAGCTTGTCCCGGCTGGGGCGGTTCTCTACCAGTGGGAGATACCTTGTTTAAGAAACCCCGCTAGCCGACAAGTAGGTTGGTGCCGGTTCTCCCCATTCAGAGAGGGATCACCGCCATCTCCCGATGATAAACATCCACTAAACGTACGGGACTAGCAGCCATTGACGCGCCCGGAATTATCAATCAAATAAAAGCTCGAAAATTGTTACATTCAAGAAAAACTGAGAAGTAGAGCACTGAAGTCTTTTTTAAGGGTGCACAAAGGAGAACTTCTTTTGTTTTACGAGTAACGTGAACAAAAGTGCACCAAGATCTGAAAAAAACGTATATGTTTTCATAAACAAACAAAACATTATTTATAATTAATCATAAATTAAGTTCGAAAAAATAGTGTAAACGCCATCATAATTGGTTAAGCCATTCATGTGTTTCTTAAAAATTGTAATACTAATTAAATGGGTTTTAATATCATGTAAATAACAATAAAAGGCAGTTATTTTGAAATCACACATAGATACGGCAATTGAAGAAATATTGATTTACCCTCTTTTACAGTAACATTGTTCCATCTACAGTCAAGTAAACTTGGAAAAATTTAATATCTAGCGTTTTAAAATATTAATTCTTCGATATTTTAATTTTCATTGTATTATTTGATGTGTCATCTTTAAAGCAATTCAGCGCGATGCTTCGTTAGGAAAAAAAATCGAAGACAGTGCTTCCTATTGATTTCTTGTCATCACCTGTCATATAGAAGGAATACAAATGCTTGAATTATGGTACACTTGGCATTTCAGCTGAAGATGCTCCTTTAATATTCATTGCAGGCAACATGTAGAGGGAAAAGGTTTATACAAGGATCGAATCGATGATTTATGTTATATACACTCATTTTTTTGTATTTTGTTTTTATGACTAACAAACTCTTCTCTTCAAACTAAATCTAATATTACACACTACAATATATACTATATAAACTACGAATTGATGATTCAGTAAATAATTAATTATATAACGAAGGAATGTTGATTGTTATGTCGGATACAGTGAATGGAAATGGTGGTGATGGGTAAGCAAGGCACAATTTCACAATTAATGACATAACATATTGATGCATTTAAGTCAAATAATTATAATAAAGCCCTTGCAAGCTTATTTAAAAACTGTTGGTTAACAATTTTTAAATAAACTTCAATAATGAAAAGCCCGGACATCATAAATTTATTATTATTTTCACTCATAAATGTAAGCATCTAACCTGTGAAACAACTCCATTTGTAGTAGAGTTAATCATCTTACTATTACAATCAGTTTCTGTGAAGCTTCGTATAGTTTGCTTTTTCATTATATTATTAAACGTCTTACGAAGCTGATAAAACGGACTCGTGCTTCTTAAATCTTGTCCACGTCTTACGTATTAGTTTTGCATCTAGGACGAGAGAAAAGTAGTAAAATTGTAAGAATATTGATAAAAGTGTTGCCACATTAGAAAATTTGTGTAGGATCTTTATCATCAGCCTAAAATACATATTGTTGAAAAAAGTTTTTAGTTCATTATGAAATACATATGTTGATTTTTACGACGATATAAATTGTAATTGTCAGATAAAAAATAAGAATTCATTTACTTTATGGACTCTTCATTCCAATTTATTTTATTACGGAATTAGAATGATCAACTTTTTTTCCTCTCAGAATGAACGAATGAACATTTTTTCAAGATTTGAAATTTCAAAAACAGCACACTTGATACAAACGTTTATACCTATACCTACAAGGTTAAAATAGTAAAGTATGAAATAAAATGTTTGAAATATATTTGTTGAAAATATTTTGTGAATATTTTCTTTAAAAATTTAGATCATTGCATATGAGTATAATCAATGGAAATTTATTTAAGGGATTGGTACCAGTGGATAACGATCAAAAGTATACTTTCCTCACACTGTGTTTGGAGAAATCAATGCCACCTAAAACATCAGGTCTATTCGCAAGGGCCATCTTGCTTGTAACGTCACTATTTGTAGTCATAACATTGTGAAGCGTGGTCTGCCTGTGAATCAGTGTGAAGAGTGAATGTCGGGTGTTAAAATACTTGAGAACAGTGTTTTTATCCATTTTATATCTATGCTTTAAATTTGTGCGAACAAAACATTTTATTTGTAGCAGAGCAATTTTGATACGGAGTAGGTAATAATACTTCTACAAACTTGTAGAAACGTTTAGACATTCGGGTTTGAAGTTGTTGTGCACTTAAACTTTGAAATTGCTTTAGGAGAAATTCAACATCCCTAAAGTGGAGAAAAATCCAGAGCATGCATTATAGTACATAGGAAAGGAATTTAGTTTGTTGAATGGAAAGGACAAAACTGTTGTACTCTTAATGGATGAAATATTCTTGAATTCAAATGCTCACTATAAAAGAGGAAGTAAGTCGTAACTGCCATTAATGAAGTGGAAAATTTATCATCAGCGTGATTCATCAACAGTACGTGGTAATCAGTATGATTTCATCATGTACCTAGCGATGCAACAGAATGGCACCTTCTTTGGTCCGGTATTTCTATTTCCTTTGGTCTCGGCTAGCTACTCGAAATTCCCACATACTCTTGCCTGCTGCCATCTACCGCCACCCAAAGTATATTTTTCAAATTGTCTTAATTTTTCGGTTGACTAATAGTAGAACAGACATATTATTTCAATAATAGTAAAGAACAATAGAATCTCGTCCTAAATGGCAATTTTCTTTGAAATTTGGAGCGGTTATTAAGAAAATGGTGCTTAAGCGCTATAGTAAATTCTAAATTTGAAGCACTTTCACAGAAATATTTTGTTTTCGAAAAACTTCAATTAAGGTATTTTTAAGCACATTACCTCATAAATACAATAGTGTTTACAAAATAATGGAAATGTGCATATTACCGGCGTGAAAAATCATTCAAACAAATTATATTTGAGTATTTTTTTATAAAACTATTGTAATAAAACCCCGAAATTAACTTTACTTCATATTGAAGAGTGTAATTAGCACTATCTGTTCGAAAAGTTTGAAGAAAAAGTTAGGAGCGGTTTATGAGAAAATTCTGTTTGAGCGTTTCTGAAATTGCGAACTTTGAGCCAGTATTGATTCAAAAGTTTTTCGAGAAGCTTTATATGACTATATTGAAAGCACATGTATAATAATGCAAACAAATTACCGTTAATATAAATATTAACAACGTGAGAGACAGTTCAAAAACTTTCATTTTTGTAATTTTTGAAACAACAAAAGAATAGCATAATATGGCGTTTATTATAAACTATATAAATTAGAAATAACAACGGAATTTAACCGCTAAAAAGAACAGTTAGCATTTCTCTTTTGTATAACTTATTTTCTTAATTATAAACTAAAATGAATGGTATTATTAATAATAATATACCTCTTCTTTGGGTTCAATTAGTTTACCTAAAGATATAATATCTCCTAACATCTTCAATGTTATACTCTTCATAAGCTATTAAAGTTAACTTCCACTATAAATTAAAATTATTATTAAAATATCTCAAAATATAACTCAATAAATAATACTTAAACAATTTAATTGATATTCTTGATTTATTACTCTTACCTTACACAACGTAAATACTCCTTGACCTTCAAATTCCTCTCTTCATCCACAATCAACCGCACGAGCAATATTTTAACCACCATATAAAGGATAAGATTAATTATATAATATATAAATCATATTGATCCTAAAATCCTTTTAAAATAATTATTTCCTAAACAAAATCTCCCATAATTTATTATCATTGATAATTCAAATCCCATTCTCATTAATAGTTCAAATTCCATGGGACCATTAAATCCATAACTTTTATCATCTAAACAAAGTTATCTCTCCTAAATTTAAATTCACCTACTATAACATAATAAATTAAACTAAAAGTATAACAAACAGTTAATTTAGTAGAAAGAAAAAAAGAAACTAAAAATCTTTATTAATCTCAATTCTGCAATTAAAGCCTTTGAATATAATCCCGAAAAAAAGGAATTTTACCTGATAATTGATTTAGAACGTATGCTCGCTGAGTCATGCTCAATTCGGGCCGGCCTCGTTTTGTTAAATTGTTTTGTATTTGGTTTTGAAATATTGCAACTCGTTATGGTGACTTGTATAATGTTCATTGCAAATAACCAACATGGTATTCCTTTTATGGAAATTATGGTATTTTGTTGATGGTGAATACCTCAATTTGTATTGTATGTATATGTATTCTGAATTTTTGAAATTGTTGCCTGCACTACATTGTTGCACAGGGTGAACCAGTTGTTGAACAGGTTTTCCCCTGTTGCTCCTGTTGCACAATTGTAAATTGTTGTTGAATTGTTGATGCTTTATTGAGTGTCTGCAGTTTCTGTGAACCAGGCTCCCATGATTTGAGCGTAAGCAGTCTGCATTCCGATCAAAATACGAGTCCTTGGGCTTGTATATCGGAGGTGCGGAAAGCCGTACCGCAGTTATGGCGGTGGCATCATAACTCCCCTTTCGGTCCCATAGATGGCCGAGCGTGTAGCAGGGAGCTGGCTGGGTCTGTTGTTGGAGGGGCGGCCTCTGACCCTGTGAGACGGACGAAGTAGTGCCGCCAAGGACGCAGGTATTTATGCAGTGGGTCGTCGGCTGCTTCGCCAGGTTCAACTTGCATGCTTACATGCATGCTTTGGTAACCCTGCCGGAAGGGAAATTCTGAATGCGGCCATTGTGCGGTTAGTGTATGGTAACATATGAGCTTATTTCACATACGTTGGTTATATGCAATGACACAGTCACGAGTTGCGTGTTCAAGTGTGTAATGAATTATGTTATTAATTGTTGAAAATTCATTAATTGTGTTTGATATTAATTGTGAAAGCTTCATTGCTGGGCGTTTGCAAAATTGCACGTTAATTGTTTTTTCTTTTCGTAATTGAGGGTGTTTACTAGAAGCAGCCTTGTCATTTTTTGTAAGGCATGAATCTTTTTGCACCTTCCTAAAGTGGATGTTCAGTGTTATTAAGAGCTATGTATATTTTGTAATTTAATTTCAGGTACCATAATTATTGTAAAGTGGCTTCGCCTGAAGATGTGAATGTTTATGTAAAGTTTAATGTCAAAGGGGTTTTCCGGGTTTTTAGGATTATACTATTATTGATAATAAATAATTGATATATTGTAAATAAAAAAGGAAAAGAAAGGAATATATATATATATATATATATATATATATATATATATATATATATATATATATATTCATAAACTTAAGATATTAGAGTGTATGAAATGTTGGTTGAGGGGTTGAACGATTTGACTGGTTGTTCATGCTTTTAAATTTTTGGGAGGTGGACGTAAAATTGGACGTAAAATATTTGAAGTTCATTGTGTTAATTTTCGCTCGAAACGCCGTTTTCTTTCTCTCCAGCCACCAGATCTACGGCCGATCGTCACGGTCGTCTCGCCTCTTGACCATGCCCGGCACCGGAATCCTCGCCTCTGCCTCTCTCTTCGCCCCTCTTCCGATGCGGCACGCTGACGCGTATTTCACAGTCCTCACGCGTATTTGCTAGCGGCGTAGCGGTTTTCTGCCATTCCTTACAACCTTTCTTAATCGTATAGCTAACTGCACAGTTTTAGTGACGCCTCTCAACAGCTCACAGTTCCACAGAAATCCAAATGAACTTCAAGATAAATTTGATGAACAGTCATTACAGTTACTCCATGGGAAGTTTACGTGAATACGCAACGAAGCGCATCATGGAGTATAAAACATTATCTCCCCCTATGAATGACCAAGAAATTATTTGTGTATTAACGCGACAGTTTCCCGTCACTGTGCAGAACCTACTACGCAGCGCAAATCATACAGATTTAGAAAGGTTTCAGAATGTATTGAGAGGGTATGATCTTACTTCGCAGGCGCTCCAAAGAATAGAAATGAGGGCAATGTAAACATGTTGAGAATGGAGCAAAGCCAAGGGCAAGGGAATGGTGATGCCAGGCAACCAGTGGAATCGACGCGGAAGAGGTGGAGATAGATGGCAACCGGAACCGAGGAATCAGAGACCAGAATGGAGTGGATCTGATCCTAACCGCACGGAGGCTGCTAGAAGTGGAGGGGGGAGTGCACCCGATCAATCATCGCGACCCAGTACAAGCAGACGACAGGGAAGTCATTTAAACCAATAGAGTCCGTGGTCAAAGGTGGCCCCATCGCGGACCCAGGTGACGAAAATTTAAATGTGGTCCCTATCAACACCATTGAGCCAGTGACCTACGACGCCCAGCCGTGGCAGAGACGTAAAAGTTCGGAGATTAGAATAAGGAAGTGT